ATCTTAATAATCAGAACAGTGTCACATATTGATTGTTATTTTTTTTTTATGTATTCCTTTTGATATTGATTCAATTCTTGTTAACATGCCAACACATCTTTAATTAAATTAATAAAAAAGAGAGTAGGCCGTCAAGTTGATTGTACAGATAGATATACGCACGATACGATAAGTATTCGTCATATATTTTTTTTTATTCAACACAGTAAAAGTACGTAACATAAACTTCTTATTTTTATAATTATTATGGATGCGAACACATAGTTTGTTAATTTAATATGTATCATTATGATATTTTTTTTTGTGTAAATTTTGTATATAATAAAAGAAGAAATTTAAATCAATTATCAGCTTTTGCAGAAAAGAACTTTATTTTGTCCAGAACATATTCAATCGTAGAAATTTGTGTTATTGTTTGCTATGAAAATGATAATATACATGAAAAGGAACGTGTAAAAACCAATTTATGGATAAAAGGTCTATGTCTAGAAATAGTTTTACCATGTAAAGAAAATTCATACGTCTGCCGGTTTTTGCCGGTCTAGAAATATTTTTAGACCGGCCGGTCACCGGCCGGGCCGGGCCGGTCTAAGATTTAAACCGGTCAGGCCGGTCCGGTCTGAATTTTTTTGACCGGTTACAACTCTGCCACACCCACCCACACCCACATCCCACCCTTCTTATTTATTATATATTACGCCAAAATGCTTGAGGGAATGGGCTTGTGTGTTGAGTGTGGAGGGTGGATATGTGTGTAGGTGTGAATGTCACTGTTTCCTACATCAACACCCATTCACTCACCCACATCCACTTCATACTCACAACCACACCCACACCCTTCTAAGTCATCGTTGCTTAATAGGCCAATGATTGACAATAACAATACTCATGTTTCGAATCATGAGATCAGCCTATTTAATGGTTTTATCACAAAAAAACAATAGCTGGTTATTTTTATTGCAATTTTTTCTTCTATAAGGATTACTTTTTTGGAGAAAAAAGAATCACTTAAATAAGCGTTGGAGCAATATCGAATTTCTTTTAATGAAAGATCACTTGCGCTTTTTCACTTTCGATAAATGCGAAAAACATTACCTATTCATTAGATATAAAGATTAGTATCTCAGCTATTCTGTCTGATTTCAATGCATGCGATGGCTTCAACAGTAGTTCGTTGTTGTGTATTCGTTCTATTCAGGTAATTCTAAAATCTATTATTTTCCTATTCATCTAACATTAAACAATCGTTCTTTTAAGCCTTACAGGTATTATTGTAATGCTTTTTTGCTTGTTATTAATTTTACTTGTCGGTAGTTCGAGTGAAATCTCAATACTGTTACGGGATACAGCAATATGATCGATGCTCGCGAAATAGTGAGTGTGTCTGTCTCTATATAGCAGGTACTATTGATCTTGGCATTTGTGGCGAACCATCTCTTGTGGATTGCTCTGAGCTAGTTCCATGCGAAAGCTCAAACAACGTCTGTGATTAACCAGATCATACATGTGTTCATCATTCTCGATGTCATAATCTTCCTGTTTGTTATCCAGTACCAAGTTTCAATCGACAACTCTGTCCACCGATTGCAAGTAAGAGAACAAACACTGATCTACAGATTTAAGTAAAGCTCAGATCCTTCTTACAAATATTTCTTTGCCGTTCACATACTATCATATGTTCAATTCATGCTTGTGGAGGAAGAATGAAAAAAAATCTGGGAAAAAGGAGATAAAGGATGGCAGAGACAAAATGAACTGTAATCATTGGAGAAAATGTCAAATCTTTTTTCATATATCATGTCCACGAATTGGAAATATCAGTCTGTTACAGTTGAAGGCATGAAACCACTTCTTCCACTTTTTCATATGAGAAACTTTAGTTTATGTTTTATTGAACAAATTGAGACAATAAGGGTGTAGGTGTGAGTGTGGACGTCACTGTCAGCATTCAGTTAGAGAAGATTTGCACCCACACCCACATTCACACCGTTTCCAACATCCTCAGATACCCTCTATCGTTCTCAAGTATTTATTTAACTGATTCAGGTATCCCCATAGCATCCTCAGATGTTACTCTAAAAACGACGAAGACATTTGTAGTGTCCGCAGGTGTTTCTACACCATTTTCAGATGTCCTTCTTGTATTTGTAGGAGTCTCTCTAGCAGCCTTTAGTGTCAATCTATCATTCTAAGGTGTCTTTGTAGCAACCTTAAGTGTTTCCTCAGTGGATCCATATGTTTTCTCATCGAAAGATCCTCAATATTTCAAATAACAACGCATTTCGTTTCAAAGCTTCTCTGCAGACTCTGGTTTCATTCGTCACAAAGATTCTCCTTTCTTTCGGATCGAATATAATATTCGACAAAACTTAGAAGTCCCTCAAAACACGGATTTCTATATGAATAGTTACGAAATTCTTATTTTTTCATAGGAAGCTGTGGGAAACACCTGTTTTTTATTTAGAGTATATTACTGAAGGGATATTCTCGAAATTTTTTACAAGTTTTTTTCGAAGAAAAAAAAGAGATTCGTGTCCGTAATGAATGGCAATGAGGACTCATTTCTTTTTTTCCATACTTTCTAGTGATATCTAATATCCCATTCGATGCTCAATGGATACAAAATGGAATGACCGTTGCTGGAGGCCATGGAAAAGGCAACGCCACCAATCAACTCAATTCCCCTTCCCGTCTTTTCGTTGATGATTACCAAACGGTGATCGTCTCTGATTACTGGAATCATCGTGTCATTCAATGGAATATAGGTGATACGAATGGACAAGTGGTAGCTGGTGGTCGTGGTAATGGAAATCGATTAGATCAATTAAATGGTCCAACCGATGTTTTGATTGACAAAGCGACAGATAGCCTCATTATCTGTGATGCAGTGAACCGACGAGTTGTACGATGGTCTCGTCGTAATGACACAACTCAAGGAGAGATCCTCATTAACGACATCAAGTGTTCAGGACTGGTTATGGATGATCAGAGATATCTCTATGCCTCTGACATCGACAACCATGAAGTAAGACGATATCAAATAGGAGACAGAAACGGGACTATCGTCGCTGGCGGTAATGGTCAAGGAGGTGGTCTCAATCGGCTCAACTATCCGTACTATCTCTTTGTTGATCAACAACAGACTGTCTACGTGTCAGACAAATGGAATCATCGTGTTATAAAATGGAATAAAGATGCAAAAGAAGGAATTCTCGTCGCTGGAGGTCGAGGGCAAGGAAGTGCTCTGACACAATTGCCATATCCCAGTGGACTGTTTGTCGACAGGTTGGGTACACTTTATGTGGTAGGTTCAGAGAATAATCGAATAATGCGTTGGCGTAAAGGAGAGACACAGGGTACTGTTGTTGTGAATGGAAATGGCGCAGGAACAGGAGCAAATCAGTTGAATTCTCCCACCGGTTTGTCCTTCGATCGACATAGCAATCTCTATGTCGTCGATAATTGGAATCATCGTGTTCAACGATTTTCTATCCAATAAACTGATTATGATGGTTTCTTTTTTTCTTTCCTTCCGAGTAAATTTACGTCGAACTGATGAAACGAATGACTATTTTATGCGTGCGTACACAATTCTTCCCATTCGAAGGTGGGTGTGGGTGTGAGTCTGGATGCGGATGGGTGCGCGTAGGTGTGTGCGGGTGCCTTATCTTCATGCATACTCATACCCACACACCCCACACTCTGTCTCTCGTCCTCTCAGATCGTTCCAAACCCTCTCAATTACAGTCTATGATGTTTCCTGTTATGTTTGAAGTGTTCCCCTTCGAACATAAGACGAAACGAAACGAATGATGAATACTCCTTTGGCTGTGGGTGTGTGGATGTGGGTGGGATGTGGGTGGGGTGTGTGATGTGGGTGGGGTGTGGGTGTGGGTGTGCGTGGGTGTGGGTGTGGGTGTGTGATGTGGGTGGATGTGGGTGTGTGATGTGAGTGGGTATGGGTGTGTGATGTGGGTGGGTGTGGGTGTGGGTGGGTGTGGGTGGGTGTATGTGGGGTTAGGTGTGGGTGTGGATGTGGGTGTGGGGTTGGGTGTGGGTGGGTGTGGGTGTGGGGAAGATATGCACTGCAATCACACCCACACCCACAAACCCACACACCCACACCCACACCCACCCACACCCACACCCACACCCAAACACCCACACCCACCCACACCCACACCCACACCCACACCCACACTCACACCCAAACACCCACACCCCACACCCACTTCAGGACCCAAGGGTACCCTCGTATAATAGGACTTCAGGACCTAAGGGTCCCTTTATAGAATAGGAGATGCGGACTATAAATGTATCACTTAATTTTAAGTGAATTAAGCGTTAATTAGAAAAACTTAACACTTAATATTAAGAAATTAAGTTTTCTTTTAAAAAACTGAATATTAAGAAATTAAGTTGTCTTTCAAAAACTTAAAACTTAATTTTAAGTTTTAAGTTTTTTCATTAACACTTATTTTTAAGAATTAAGTTTTTTATTAATATTTAATATTAGGCGGTTAAGTTGGAATTAGAAAAACTTAACACTTGATTTTAAGTTTTAAGTAAAATTGGTTAATAAAATGGCTTAATCCCAGTGAAAAATTTTTGCGATTTTCAATCGGATTTTTTTGCAACAAAATCAAAATTAAAATCGATTGATAATTTTGATTATTTTCGATCATGGCCGAACTATTACTTGACATTGTTACTTATTCAGTGTGAAATTTTCTGATTGAAATCGGATTACTTTGCAGGATAATCAAAATTATTAATCGATTGATAATACTGGATTTGCTACAGAATCATCCGATTTCAATCAGAAAATTTTACACTAAATAAGTAACAATGTCAAATAATAGTTCAGTCATGATCGAAAATAATCAAAATTATCAATCAATTTTAATTTTAATTTTGTTGCAGAAAAATCTGATTGAAAATCGTAAGAATTTTTCACTGGGATTAAACTGAATTAGAAATAACGTCCCACCCCTATTCTGAATTTGAATTGAAATGAGTACCATTTGAAGATCTTCGTTGCTGAGGTAAAATGTAGCATCATAGTTGCTCTACACATCCGCATCCTATTTTTTAAATTATCATCAATGGGAAATATTTTAATTCTTCGATGATTTGTTCACTATGGATAAATTTTGTTTTTCTCTATTTATTCATATCGTCATAAATGGAATCATAATAATAAAATAGAAACAACAATACATACAAATAAATAACATGAAAAGTAAAATGGCTGTGATAGTGATTGACTTAATCTATCGACATCTGGCATTTTGTTATTACATGAGCATCTAGTCATTTTCTGGAAAATCAGTATGAACGTTGTTAGAATTTATTGAGTGTCATTTGTATTGAACTTCATTTTTTTTAGTTTTTACTCTTTTCTGCTCGTTAAAATAGAACATATTTGAAAAACAAAAAGCATGAGTGTTTTTAGTAATTTTTTTTAAGTATTTAATAATGATAATAATGATTTTGTAGCGAGCTAGTTTTTTTCATACTTAATAACAGAAATGAACAATAGTAAACGAAACAGAAGAAAAAAACAAAAGACAATCTCTGTGTATGTATATGTGTCAATACATTTGCTTGGATTTTGTGTTATTTTTATTTTTTAAATGATGATATTTGATTTTTTTTGAGCAACAGAATTAGTTGCTGCTTGTTTAGCTTGATATGTTTGAAGTATAGCAATAGCTTCTTCAACCTAATATAAAATAAAAATAAAAATAAAAAATAATTTATTTTATAATTGAATAAACATACTTTAGCTTTAAGTAATTCACTTGATTCGAGCATATAAAGAAGTTCCGTATTATCAATTTCTAGGAGCATACCAGTTATTTTACCAACTAATTCTAGTTGAATTTGTTGAATCAATGGAAATAAACGTTCACCTAACATTTGTTTTTGCTCTAATGGTGTTGCATTAGCAAGAGCAGCCAATGTTAATGGGTTTTGTTCAGCAACTACAATTGAATCTGAAAATCCAGTTGAATTCTA